TTTTCTGTATTTTGAAAGATGCTTTCAGGCCTTTTTGTCCTGCCACATTCTATGCCTATTTTCCAATCTATCAAGGACCATAACTCCTTAACGACAAAAATGAAAATCATCAATATCAAACTTAACCACCCTTTTGTCATCAGTAAAAGCATATCAAAATTTCAAAATCATTGGCTAAATGGTTGATTAGTAATTGCACAGAGACAACATTAAGTGCCATTTTCCAATAGATCAAGGACCATATCTCCTGAACAGTACAAGTCAATATCAAACTTGACCTCCATTTTGTCATTAGTATCAACATATTAAAATTTAAAAGCATTGGTTGAAAGGTTCATAAGTTATTGCACGGAAACTGTTGGCAGCCTGCCCAGCCACCCACCCTACTTCACCAATTTAATAACTGGATTTTTTCTCCAGAAAACACAGTTAATAACAGAAAAACATGGGCACATAAGCTGATCTGCAATCTTTATAATTTTTAGTAGAAGTATCAGTTTTTTTGGGTCAAGTGATCAACTGTCAAGTCTGCTTCATTCTCCTAATTGCTATTGTGACCTTGTTTTTGACCTAGTGACCTTCAAATAAATAGGTTTATTCTTCACTATAACAGACATTGACTGAAAAGATAACTTTAAATCAGATCTATCACTCAAAAGATACAGTTCAGAAGGAAAACTTTTCACAATATTTCTCTTTGATCTTGACACTTGATCTACTGACTGAAAAAACAATAATGGCCTACACCAAGGACATTTTCAGGCTAAGTTTGCTGAAAGTGGGACATATGATTCAACAGATATCATCCTAAAACCAAAATCATGTCCCTATCTATGTCTAACAAATATGGTTGTGGCCTTCACCTTTGGACATAAAACTCAATAGTGTAATCTTCACCAAAAGGGGCATTATCAAACATTTTTGTAAAAATATTTTTGCTCTTTAAACTGACAATTTAAAAACTATAGGCTTCCAGCTTCATAGAAACAATGACAGCCATCTTTCAAACAATAAGAATGATTGTGATCAAGATCCTTATAAAAATGGTTAAATATTTTAAAGACAATAAAATGCTTCGCTGGGCACAGCTTGATACGACCGCAGAGGTCGAACCCTGAACAGTTGGGGCAAGTATGGACACAACATTCAAGCTTGATACAGCTCTGAATTTGGATTGTGATTAAATATTTGACACAGCATAGGTTTCTGACACAGAAAGAATGTGGTCTAAGAACTTGATTTTTTTTAAATTACCTATTATGGTCGAATGTCCAAAATCAAAATACATGGTTAGATTCAGCATAATCAAAGAACCCCATATATTCAATTTTTGTTGAAATCAAACAAAGTTTAATTTTGGACCCCAACTTGGACAAACTTTAAAACTGGGCCCATAATCAAAAATCTAAACACATGTTTAGATTCAGCATATCAAAGAACCCCAAGAATTCAATTTTTGTAAAAATCAAAATAAGTTTAATTTTGGACCCTTTGGACCTTAATGTAGACCAATTTAAAAAACGGGACCCAAAATTAAAAATCTCAATACACGGTTAGATTTGGAATATCAAAGAACCCCAATAATTCAATTTTTGATGAAATCAAACAAACTTTAATTTTGGACCCTTTTGACCTCAATATGAACCAATTTGATAGCGGAGCCCACAAATAAAAAATCTAAATACATGGTTAGATTCAGCATATCAAAGAACCCCATATATTCAATTTTTGTTGAAATCAAACAAAGTTTAATTTTGGACCCCAACTTGGACCAACTTGAAAACTGGGCCCATAATCAAAAATCTAAACACATGTTTAAATTCAGCATATCAAAGAACCCCAAGAATTCAATTTTTGTTAAAATCAAACTAACTTTAATTTTGGACCCTTTGGACCTTAATGTAGACCAATTTAAAAAACGGGACCCAAAATTAAAAATCTAAAAACACTGTTAGATTTGGCATATCAAAGAACCCCAATAATTCAATTTTTGATGAAATCAAACAAAGTTTAATTTTGGACCCTTTTGACCTCAATATGAACCAATTTGATAGCGGGGCCCACAAATAAAAAATCTAAATACATGGTTAGATTCAGCATATCAAAGAACCCCATATATTCAATTTTTGTTGAAATCAAACAAAGTTTAATTTTGGACCCCAATTTAGACCAACTTGAAACTGGGCCAAAAATCTAAAATCTAAATACATGTTTAGATTCAGCATATCAAAGAACCACATATATTCAATTTTTGTTGAAATCAAACAAAAAAAAAAGTTTAATTTTGGACCCCAACTTGGACAAACTTGAAAACTGGGCCCATAATCAAAAATCTGAACACATGTTTAGATTCAGCATATCAAAGAACCCCAAGAATTCAATTTTTGTTAAAATCAAACTAAGTTTAATTTTGGACCCTTTAGACCTTAATGTAGACCAATTTAAATAAAATGCTCCGCAGGGCGCAGCTTGATACGACCGCAGAGGTCGAACCCTGAACAGTTGGGACAAGTATGGACACAACATTCAAGCTTGATACAGCTCTGAATTTGGATTGTGATTAAATATTTGACACAGCATAGGTTTCTGACACAGAATGAATGTGGTCTAAGAACTTAAAAATTTTAAATTGGACATTCACCTATTATGGTCCAATATCCAAAATCTAAATACATGGTTAGATTCAGCATATCAAAGAACCCCAAGAATTCAATTTTTGATGAAATCAAACAAAGTTTAATTTTGGACCCTTTTGACCTCAATATGAACCAATTTGATAGCGGAGCCCACAAATAAAAAATCTAAATACATGGTTAGATTCAGCATATCAAAGAACCCCATATATTCAATTTTTGTTGAAATCAAACAAAGTTTAATTTTGGACCCCAACTTGGACCAACTTGAAAACTGGGCCCATATTCAAAAATCTAAACACATGTTTAAATTCAGCATATCAAAGAACCCCAAGAATTCAATTTTTGTTAAAATCAAACTAACTTTAATTTTGGACCCTTTGGACCTTAATGTAGACCAATTTAAAAAACGGGACCCAAAATTAAAAATCTAAAAACACGGTTAGATTTGGCATATCAAAGAACCCCAATAATTCAATTTTTGATGAAATCAAACAAAGTTTAATTTTGGACCCTTTGGACCTCAATGTGGACCAATTTAAAAAACGGGGCCCCAAAATCCAAAAACCTAATACACAGTTAGATTCAGCATATTAAAGATCCTTAAGAATTCAAGAATAAAACCCCATTGAAATTGGTCAAGAAATAAGCAATTTATACGAAGTATCTTCTTTTGCACAATACTGTGCAATTGAATATTTCTTGCTATTGCGCAATACTGTACAATTGACAATTTCTTGCTATTGCGCAATATTGTGCTATTGGATATTTCTTGCTATTGCGCAATACTGTGCAATTGAAGATTTCTTGCTATTGCGCAATACTGTGCAATTGAAGATTTCTTGCTATTGCACAATACTGTGCAATTGAAGATTTCTTGCTATTGTGCAATACTGTGCAATTGAAAATTTCTTGCTATTGCACAATACGTATTATATAATAATTTACACATCCTGTTTGGTGTGTATCTCCTACCATATCATGATTATTTGCTTTTAAATATAAATCAGAAATAACCAACTTAAAATGGAAAATTTTAAAAGAAAAAAAAAAGGAAACCCCCCCCCCCCCCCCCCAAATTTTTTGAACCCCCTTATGATTCATCATCCCCAAACTCAATCCCAGCCTTCCATTTGTGGCATGGTACCTTGCAGTACAATTTCAGAGAGATCCATAAACTTGAACACAAGTTATTGTCTGGAAACTAGAAAAATGTGTTTTTTGGCCCCTTTTTGGAAACTGGACCAAAAATTAAAAATCTAAATACACAGTTAGATTCGGCATAACAATTAAATAAATGTGGTCAAAGAATAAGGGGCCAAAAGAGGGGCAAAAAACAAGCATTTTTCTAGTTACATGACAATAACTTGTGTGTAAGTGTATGGATCTTTCTGAAATTGTACTACAAGGTTCCATATCACAAAGGGAAAGCTGGAATTGAGTTTGGGGGTAATTGCCCAAAACGTTTAGGAATAAGGGGCCAAAAATAAGCATTTTTCTAGTTTCTAGACAATAACTTGTTTTCAAGTGTATGTTTCTCTCTGAAATTGTACTGCAAGGTACCATACCACAAAGGGAAGGCTTAGATTGATTTTGGGGGTAATTGCCTCAAAATTTTAGGAATTAGGGGTCAAAGAGGGGCAAAAAACAAGCATTTTTACAGTTTCCAGACAATAACTTGTGTTCAAGTGTATGGATCTCTCTGAAATTGTACTGCAAGATACCATACCACGAAGGGAAGGATTGGATTGAGTTTGGGTGTGATGAATCATAAGGGGGTTCAAAAAATGGTAGGGGGGATTGTTTTTTCCTTTTTTTTTTTCTTCCTTATTTTCTTTTTTTTTTCTTTAAAATTTTCCATTTTAAGTTGGTTATTTTTGATTTATATATAAAAGCAAATAATAATGATATGGTTTTGATTTCATAAAAAATTGAAATATTGGGGTTCTTTAATATGCTGAATCTAACCGTGTATGTATTTAGATTTTGGATACTGGACCATAATAGGTAAATTAAAAATTTTTAAGTTCTTAGACCACATTCATTCTGTGTCAGAAACCTATGCTGTGTCAAATATTTAATCACAATCCAAGTTCAGAGCTGTAACAAACTTGAATGTTGTGTCCATACTTGCCCCTACTGTTCAGGGTTCGACCTCTGCGGTTGTATCAAGCTGCGCCCAGCAGAGCATTTTATTTTTATCTTGCTGAGACTTTTTAAGTTATTTTAATATACTAAGTTACATTTTTTTTTAATAAGCCATAGACCCTAGTTATATTTTCTAGTTTTTGTCTTTTGACAATTTGGTCTAGTATAATACATTTGGTAATTTTATTTTTATGTTTTCTATACATGTTATATACATACCACCAGTCTCTACAGTCTCTACATTACCAGCTGAACCATCTTCAGACTTCTCTGAAAAGCATAAACTTTTACATTTTTAAACACACTCAGGATGGAATCTTTAATGAACTCAGTAACACCTAAATTTGTTTGCACATCAAATTTCTTAAATTTTTCTTCATCCAAAATAACATTTATTTATCATTATTTCTAACTTCTTGTAGAACAATCTTCCTGGAACATAACTAGAAACATGTGAGCAGTATTTTCTGAATGGCTTTTTTCACAACAGTTTTGAGAACTCTATTAGATCTAAAGTCAATGCTAGAATTGTGATTGATTGCTTCTTTGATTGGTTTATCCAGATAGTGTTGTCTATTGAAGAGTATATGAATCAATCTACAGAGCTAAGATCATTATGACATCATCAAACTATATTAATATATCATAAAGAAATAAATGATAACTTAATATCAGTGGTTGTTGTTGGTTGCTGTCTGTTATATTGATTTTTCATTTATTGTTTTGTACTTTACTCAGGCCGTTGGTTTCCTTGTTCTAAATTTTGTCAATTGGGGCATTTTATAGCTTACTATATGGAATGTGTTTGCTCATTGTTGAAGGCTGCATCATGACTTAAAGTTGCTTACATCTACTACATCTAATGTCTGGTGGAGAGTTGTCTCATTGGCAATCATACCACATCTTCTTATTTTTATATTGAACCCATGCTTCATAATTAAGTCTTAAAACAAAGGTAATGAAATCACCTTTAATCCTTTTTGTCCTTTGAGTTGGTATTCCAAGTTTTTCTTTCTCAATTATGGTCAATCTTCTGCACTGAGCTCTAATAATCCTGTAGCGGCTCCAATCTTCTGTTTTTCCCGTTCTTTTTGCTCTATAATGAAGTGTATTTCTTTGTTTAATCAAGGCCTTGATTTCATCTGTCATGAATGGTTTATCTATCATCTCTTTTTCTGACTGGTCAGAGATGTGACCTTCAGACTGATTCAGTTTTGGTACTTTAGCATCTCCCATCTCTATCATAGGTTTCTTTCTCCTTCTGTTTCTTCTACCTCTTACATTCTTGTCTCCATTACAGGCATCATCTCCATGTTCATTTTGTTGTCTATCAAAATTCTTCCCTTTCATTTTCCTGTAAGTATATGGAAAATGGTTCAAGTAATGAATAGACAAATAATTAAACCTTAAACACCTATTAACTGAATGTGTATAGTCTCAGGACGTCTTATAGTGATGAGCATAAAACAGCAGTAATTCATTTTGCAACTCGAGGTTTGAATAATTAAAACCATTTCAATGAGAGATGTCCAATACCAAACAATAAAAGGTAATAATTAATAAACTTTTGACAAAGAGATATGTCTTGCCTGTGTAATTTTGATATACATTTGCAAAGATGAAATTAAACTAGCTATACTTTAACATGTAAATTATGCAAAATATTCGAAGTCAATGATTCATGACTGAAGGTAAAGGGGCAAATGACTTCCATAGAAATAAGATATGTCAATGCAAATACAACTGCATACCAAATATCATTAACTTATCATAAGTGGTTCCCCTAGAACTGACCTAATCACAAACTCATACATGTAAACTAAGCAAAAATTTCAAAGTCAAAAAGCCATGACTGAGGGGGTGGAGCCAAATAATCTCCATGGAAATGAGATATGCCAATGCTTATACAACTGCTTACCAAATATCATTGACCTACCACTAGTGGTTCCCCATAACCTGACCTAATCACAAACTAATACATGTAAACAAAGCAAAAGTTTCAAAGTCGATAGACCATGACTGAGGGGGCAGGGCAGAATAATCTTCATGGAAATGAGATGTGCCAATGCTAATACAACTGCATACCAAATATCATCGACCTACCACTAGTGGTTCACCATAAGCTAGACCTAATCACAAACTAATACATTGTTGCTGATGCTGGAAACAGCATACCTATGTCTCGCTTTTTGACTCCGTCAAGGCTAGACAAATAAAATGCTTCGCTGAGCACGGCCTGATACGACCGCAGAGGTCGAACCCTCAACAGTTGGGGCAAGTTTGGACACAATATTCAAGCTTGATACTGTCTGAATTTGGATTGTGATCAAATTTTTGACATAATATAGGTTTATGACACAAAATAAATGTGGTCAAAGATCTTAAAAATTTGAAATGGGACATTTAATTTACCTAGAATGGTCTGATATCCAAAATCTAACAACATGGTTAGATTCAGCATATAAAAAAACACCAATAATTTAATTTTAGTTGAAATCAAACAAAGTTTAATTTTGGACCCTTCAAACCGTAATATGAACTAATTTGAAAACAGGGCCCAAAATAAAAATCTAAATGCACAATAAGATTCAGCAAATCATACAGCCGCAATAATTCAGTTTTTGATAAAATCAAACAAAGTTTAATTTTTGACCGTTTTGACCTCAATGTAGACCAATTTAAAAATGGGGCCCAATATCCAAAAAAATTATACAAGGTTAGAACCCCCAAAAATTAAAGACTTAATTAATCCCATCAATTGGTTAAAACATTTGTATTTGTTTTCAATTGAAGATTCGTTTCTTGCTATTGCGCAATACTGTGCAATTGAAGATTTCTTGCTATTGTGCAATACTGTGCAATTGAAGATTTCTTGCTATTGCGCAATACTGTGCAATTGAAGATTTTTTGCTATTAAGCAATACTGTGCAATTGAAGATTTCTTGCTATTGCACAATACTGTGCAGTTGAAGATTTCTTGCTATTGTGCAATACTGTGCAATTGAAGATTTCTTGCTATTGCGCAATACTGTGATATTGCACAATACTGTGCTATTGCGCAATATTGTGCAATTGAAGATTTCTTGCTATTGCGCAAAACTGTGCAATTGAAGATTTCTTGCTTTTGCCCAATACTGTGCTATTGTACAATACTGTGCTATTGCGCAATACTGTGCAATTGAAGATTTCTTGCTATTGCGCAATACTGTGCAACTGAAGATTTCAAAAATTTTGAAGAAAAAAAATGAACCACCCCAAAAAAATTGGAAAACCCCCCCCCCCCCCCCAACTTTTTGAACCCCCACTCCCCCTTTTGGAGTAATTACCCCCAAACTCAATCCCAGCCTTCCGTTTATGGTATGGAACCTTGTAGTACAATTTTAGAGAGATCCATACACTAAAACACAAGTTATTGTCTGGAAACTAGAAACATGCTTGTTTTTGGCCCCTTTTTTGGCCCTAATTCCTGAATGTTTGGGGTAATTAACCCCAAACTCAAAAATCCCAGCCTTCCCTTTGTGATATGGAACCTTCTTGTACAATTTCAGAGATATCCATACATTTACACACAAATTATTGTCTGGAAACTACAAAAATGCTTGTTTTTGGCCCCTAATTCCTAAACTGTTGGTACCATCACCCCCAAAATCAATCCCAACCTTCCTTTTGTGGTATTGAACCTTCTGGTAAAAATTCATAGAGATCCATTCACTTAAACTAAAGTTATTGTCTGGAAACCAAATGTGTCTTCGGACGACCACGACGACATCATAGCATTATACAACGCAAAACATTTTTTACGGTCGTATTAAAATGATTTTGACAAAATTTAAATATTTTTTGTCTATATTATTATTTATATTCAGATCTATAAATATTTGGTTGCAACTACAAAATGAACTCATCAAGGTACATTTCTAAACACTTCACCTATGAATCACAGGGCTCGACTATAACGCTTGTCCGATTGTCCGGTACCAGAGGGAAAAAGGGTCGGACAAGTAAAAACTATATCAAGCTTGTCCGACGGGACAAGTAAAATTATTCTGCAGAAAGTAAATTTAATCCAACTTTGATGAACAAAGTAATTATAAACAAAAAACAAGAAAAAAGGATGAAGACAAGACATGTTTACTTGCAATCGATAATTTAAAACTGGTTCTTTGTCAGGTACTTTTTAACAGGTAAAATGCATACTATTCTCGGAAACCAGTCTTACTGATCCGAATCAGTGATGCGCTTTGTAGATAAGGTAACTTTACAAGACAGTTCGTCACAAGCTCAGAAACGGCTCCAAGTTTAACATGTTTAATAGACAGTTTGGCACCATAGGAGACATATTTAATAGACATGATTAGTAGACAGTTTGGCAACGCAGGAGACATTTCGGGACCAAGACAAATCAGTACCTCCTTTTCCTACCTTATTCTGTTGCTTTATAATAAATAACATACTGGTAATTTTTTTAACAAAAATATTTTTTAGATAAAAATGAAAAATTATTTACCATTAAATTCACAAAATCATATTTGATCATAATGTAGAAAAGAACAATACTTGCAATACGGTGACCTATAGTTGTTAATTTATGTGTCATTTGGTCTCTTGCAGAGAGTTGTCTCATTGGCAATTATACCTCATCTTTTTTTTATTGATTGCATTTGAATAAACTTTTTTCAACTTTAAAAAAACCAGGATACAAATCCAATGAGTGTACATTGACAGCCCTATCAGACGGTGCCTCATGTGCAGAATCTGGTGAGACTTTGGCATTGATGAACTACATGTAGAACCTAAGTCCTGTGACATGACTAGATTCAGTTGTATTCGACTCATATTTTTGAATAGTATTTCAAAAGATATAAATCAAATTCTGTTCTATTGTTTTAATTCATTTTGTTCCTTGAATCAACTTAAAATGCAAAAAAGTTTATTATTAAGATTTTTTTGGACAAGTTACAATCTCATTCGGACAAGTAAGTTTTGGTATGTACTTGTCCTACTGGACAAGTTGAAAAAAAAGTTATTGTAGAAGCCTGAATCATTATGCAATATTAGTAGTACCAGTAAAAGGAAACAAACAAGTATCCTTACCCAAAATATTTTGTCTGTAGAACCTCTCCTCTTGATTTCTTCTCCTCTAAAATAGCCTTCTTCTTTTCTATATTTACAGTTGTTGGAAATTTCCTGAAATAAATTTACCACACCAATGTTTATAACCATTATCTAAAATAGCCTAGTTATGCTGCATCACCCTGTTATACTGAAAAATGAATGACAGATCACAAAAATATCTAATTCTATTCAACATACTTAATAGAAGTAAAGAAATTGGTCGTCCTGCTGTCTTTCCAAGTTTAACTTCTACAGCTGACATTCTGTTCTAATATTTCAGGGTGTATCCAACAACTACAGCCTGTGTTTTAAATTGTATCTCACATATTATACACTTTTTCAAATTGTATCCCACTTGTTTTTGCCTTTTCAGGTGTTTCAAACAAATCTATAGCATTTTTCAGTGTATTTTCACTAGTAAGAGCTTTTTAGGGTGAATCTCTTAATGTCTAGCCTCCCATACCCCACCCATAATATTCTTACTGCCTGCGATCTTCTATCCATTTCTCTATATCATCCTGTGATTCAACACTCCAAATCTTCTTAGCTAGTCCACTTTTATGTTGCTGGAAAATTATAAATATCTGTTTTATACAGTATTGTATACAAAATAGTTATTTGCATTCAAGGAAAATATTCGATTTTATTAAACTGAAATGTGTTCCTAGAAACGACTTTCTTGGTGTTTGCCCTAATAAATTGTTGACACAGCAATATGTCGCCTCTCGGCAGAAAATTCAGAAAAAGACAATCTGATGGACTGCAACATTGCTAATTAATTAAAATTTGCTGGATCATGACATACTGAGATATACATTGTACTGATAGTTATGCAACTTTATAGAAAATATCATTGTCTATCATAAGTAGTTCCTATCAAACTAACTTAAGCAGAAAACTCAACATTGACAATTGCTAATTAATTCAAAGTCACTGAACTATGACCTACAGGGGCAGGGTTTAGAGTATTATGTACTGATGGTAATGCAACTTTATAGAAAATATCATTGATCTATCATCAGTAGTTTCTATCAAACTGTCTTCAGCAGAAAACTTAATATTGGAAATTGATAATTAATCCAGTCACGGGACCATGACCTAATTGTTGACCTATCACATCCTCAACTTATAATGCCAAATAAAATGTAACAGTAGTATGAATGCATAAACTGGGTCCCTATTATGATGAAAATTACAATAAATAAAATGCTCCGCAGGGCGCAGCTTGATACGACCGCAGAGGTCGAACCCTGAACAGTTGGGGGAAGTATGGACACAACATTCAAGCTTGATACAGCTTTGGATTTGGATTGTGATTAAATATTTGACACAGCATAGGTTTCTAACACAGATTGAATGTGGTCTAAGAACTTAAAAATTTTAAATTGGACATTCACCTATTATGGTCCAATATCCAAAATCTAAATACACTACCAACAATTTGCCTAACGTTTACATGTACATTAAATGCCGCTATATAAATAGTACTTTTAGGAAACATAACGAATCAGTACATTAAATGCCGTTATATAAACAGTACTTTCAGGAAACATAAATAATCAGTACATTAAATGCCGCTATATTTACAGTACTTTGAGGAAACATCGCTAATCAGTACATTAAATGCCGCTATATAAACAGTACTTTTAGGAAACATCACTAATCAGTACATTTAATGCCGCTATATAAACAGTACTTTTAGAAAACATCACTAATCAGTACATTAAATGCCGATATATAAACAGTACTTTTAAGAAACATCACTAATCAGTACATTTATTTATATATAATTTTTAGTAATGTTGAGATAAAATTGTTTTCAGTACTGAAAATTTCGGTCATTTTTCAGTACTGAAAATTTCAGTCACTTTTCAGTACTGAAAATTTCAGTCACTTTTCAGTACTGAAAATTTCAGTCATTTTTCAGTACTGAAAATTTCAGTCATTTTTCCGTACTGAAAATTTCAGTCATTTTACAGTACTGTAAATTTCAGTCATTTCACAGTACTGAATATTTTAGTCATTTTTCAGTACTGAAAATTTCAGTCATTTTTCAGTACTTAAACTTTTTGTCATCTTTAAGATCTTCTACACATACTATATTAGGTCAATGTCAGAAAAATATAAAATGTTTGTATGAGGCTGAGAAACTGGGGAAGGGCGAGGTTTTACTGAGCCCTTCCCAAGTTTTGTGCCGAATACAAAAAAGTTTATATCTTTATGACATTGACCTAATATTGTTTTTATACTGCAACTTAAATTAATACATTGATAGCTTTTTAAATCGTAACTATTATATATTAATAACATAAATATCAAACTTATTTTTATCCCCTAATGAACCCCTGCCTGATTGTGGAGAAAGTGTTCCATGATGAAATTGACATTGCACAAAATATAGAAATCAACGACAACGGAAACCCGCAATAGAACGGTGTTTTAATCTTTTGCTGACGACAACTTCAAAATCTACTCAGGACCAGGATTCTTTAAGGTAAAAAGTTACGAATTATATCAAAGTAGTTCACATTTCATTTGGTTAGTATGGTATGGTGGTCATGAAATTGAATATGGTGTTCAAACTAGGGGCATTTTAGTTGGGTGTAAGACAAGTCCACCCTGGGACAACTCGGACCGTCTAAAAAAAGACAACTCGGACCATCTATAATGACAACTCAGACTAAGTTAAAGTACAAAATTAGACTTTGGAAGAAATAAATGATTTAAGGAAAAATAACGAGTCTGAAGAGAAGTATCTAAATTGATACTTTTTTTATTCCAATTTTGAGCATGTTGAGTATAGATAAAATTATAACGTCAACTAGGGGCGTGTTTTTTTGTTCTTCGGTAGTGAGCCAGAAGAGGTCCATTTCTGTTTTTTTTTTTTTTGGTATTGGGAAGATCTTCTGGCTCTCTTCTACCTCTTCTTTTTTAATAGGTAGTTTAGACGGCAGAGACACATAACAAACATCGCGTTGCTTAGTCTAAATGACATTAATAGATTTATAGAACTGATGCAGAAATGATAAAATATGATATGTGTGATAAACGTGTTTATGGTATGGCAACCTTATATTAGTAGGACACTATAAGGACAACTAGCTGGATAAATAATAAAAACACACGGATAATAACAGTAAGGGTACGACCTTTTGATATTCTAAGGAGGGGAATGGGGCTGGAGGATCTTCTGCGGAATTTTTTATTCATTTAAAATTTTTAACTTGTCGCTAAGCATGCCTATTTTTTCCAGCTCTTACCAGGCCACCATATTCATATTCAAAATCCTCCTGCCCCCCCCCCCCCCCCCCCCCCCCCCCCCCCCTTTTCCCCAAAAAATCAAATGATTTTCTCCTTATTTAACACGAGTTTAAATTGATTGATTGTTGTTTGTTTTGTTTGTTTTTAACGTCCAGCGACTAATATTTCATACATGTTTAGACAAGACGCGAAATTAAAAGTCATATATAGAATATCAAAACACAAGTAAGAAGATGTGGTATGATTGCCAATTAGGCAACTATCAACCGGAGTTCAATGAAGTAGCATTAGCAATTATAACCAACTGTGCGGCCTTCAAAAATGACAAATACCCATACTGTATATCAGTTATAAAAGGCCCCGACATAAAAAATGTGAAACAATTAAAACGAAATAAAGGAGCGGCCAAACGATATATAACATGTATAACAAACCCATTCTAAAAAAAATCAAATATGAGTCGACAGATATGAACAAACAATAACCACTGGATTACAGGCTCATGATAATGTGGCAGGATTCTGTGAGCGCTCAACCCATCCCAAACGTTGACAGTGGTGTAACAGTACAACATAAAAAAAACGTGTAAAAGTCAGTTGCAATTGGATTAACCCAAAAGATCGGTACGAGACACAACAACAACTAACATTAACTAAAGATGATAAACGTGAAGCACCGAAATAAGAGTATTTGTAGTAACTGAAAACTTGTTAGAAGCCAAATAAAACCAACATTTTCGTGGTTAAGTGACTGCTCGAAAACAAGTTTCTATTTTTGTTATGTGAATTTCTCACTTACCTATTATGTGACCTACAGAATTAGACTATTTACCGGGTTTGTAATAACATGAGCAACACGATGGGTGCTACATGTGGAGCAGGATCTGCCTACCCTTCCGAAGCACCTGAGATCAAACCAAGTTTTTGGTGGGGTTCATGTTGCTTAGTCATTAGTTTTCTATGTTGTGTCTTGTGTACTATTATTTGTCTTATTTGCACAGTTCATTGGTCAATGTTAAAATTTTGTTTTTGTCTATTACTATAAGCAATCATAGATCAACTATATCTAGTGTATGAAATGATTTTAAGGTGTGCATGTCTGTCTGGCAGGGTTCATCTGACGAGGCACCTTGACCTTATTTTTTCATGGTTCATTGGTCAATATTTAATTTTCATGGTTTTGTCTGTTTCTTGTATAAGATAAGCAATAGCAAAACTATATTAAGCGTGTGTAATGATTGTCAGCTATACATGTCTTTCTGGCTTAAATTGGTTTATCTCACCTTGACTTCATTTTCATGGATCTTTGACAATGTGAGGTTTATGTGACCCTTGTACTAAAACTTTATCCTTAGGACTATCAGCATAAAATAATTCATGAATAGAAAAGCAGGCGAGACATTTCAGCTTGAGAATTCTTGTTGCATCTTATATGTTATATTTGAGACATTATTGGTTAAAGTTTACAGGACTGACTTTTATTGTTGAGGACCAAGAAATATGAACAACAAGAAAGAAATATGGAATGGTAGATGAACACATGCTCACTACCAAAAAGAAGACATATCTATTTTCTAAATTTATGTATTATAAAAGATAGAAGGTATGCTAGATAAGCATTAATATTATCTAAAATATGTTCAGTTACTGTTAATTTCATGTGAAGGCTCGATTCGTGTTCATTTCACATTAAAAAAAAATCATGTGATAGCTCGATTCACATTAATTTCATAGGTTGAAAATTTGTCTGTATTTCAAATAATTCTTTTACACCAACCGCTTTGGATTTAAGTGCTTTAGGTCAAGGACAAACAATTTTTTTTTTTTTTTTTTGCAATTGAACACTCTTTTAGTTGTGACGTTAAAGATGAAGAAAACCGAATTAGACTTCATATAGTAATAGACTGAAATATCTTTGGTAGGAGGGTTACTGTTTCATGGGGATTTAACTAATATTTCCTTTTATATTTACATTATGTAGTTTAATTGGATTCTGCCTTACTACCCTAAAAGTTAGTCCAGCTTTTCATTCAAAATCTACTGCTGTCAAAATTCTTATGCAATATTAAAACCACACAAAGAACAAAAAGAAGCAAAGTTAAGGTTCTAATTTCTTGCCGTTGAATAGAAAATATCAATGTTGCAATTGGTATTGCTGGTTTCTAGTTTAAACAAATAGCGAGCTATCTGAAATACAAACTAACCTAAAGCATTATTTTGCAGAAGTTGAAACTCCCAAACATGCCAAATAGGTCTCTTACAATAAACAAATATATAAGGAAATGTGGTTATAATTGCCAATGAGA